CTCTATCACATCTCGATGGGGTGTACAAGAAGAAGTAGTGGTGACGCTGTGAGTGCGCGCCGTCGCGCCTCTATGATCAGGCGGTCGTAGTATGATGATGACATCAGTACTGCTCACTTTGATGTCTACATGACTCGCTCTCTATCTCGACAATCTCCCTTCTCTGATGACATTAACCGCACTAGACTCACTGAGAAGCCAACTCCACCCAGCTCAAGCACGATGGAAACTAGTATAGTGTGTGTTGTTCTGCGCTCAAACCTATGATTTTGTTTTATTAGAACCCAAACACATATTCCTACACATCTCATAATCAGAGGACCTCCAAATAAACAGAACACATTTATATATTTAGGCCCACTCCACATCACCGCCCGCACCAACAACCCATCAAAAAACCCATATTCCCCGAGATTTATCTATAGTAAAACAAATATCCGACTCACGGGGGGGGGGGGCGGGGGAGGGTTGTTCTTATGGTGATTTTTTTCGTTCCATGCCGAGGATTGTATTGTTGATTGTCATTCTGAAATCTGAATTTTGAATATCGCACGGGGTTTTGCAACTCGGAGGTACTTTACGGCGTGCCCGTGTGCTCCATCTAAGTATACCGTAGAGCACTAGGAGTGGCGCTCGTCAATGATAATCATCTTTCTTAGAGATATAGTTTGTTGTTATGAAATTCACGACATATATTGGAAATGGAGGAAATTGGGAAAGGATATTCAACTCTGCTGCATACTGTGTGACATGACATTATTAACTCACGGGCACAGCCAGTACATCGGGCTAATGAACTGAACAACCCTAACGGTTTTTTAGATGGAGGGGCAGACGTGAAAATAAAATAATTCTAAAGATAATTCGCGGACGGAACGCAAAAACAAAAAAAAATGAGGACCGCGCACATGCAGTGTATGTACAGTACGCTATTACAATATCTCTATCCCATTCAAAGTTTGGACATAGTTACTCGTTTCGATGATATCCTCGGAATTTTGCTCTGCTAACCCCGCTCTATTTTTTGTCCCGTTCAGTACAACGCCTCTATTGCTACTGTAATCACCTGGCTCATCTCAGCCCTTCAGGACACGGTCGTACTTTATATTCCTCACTGTTCCCCCCTGCATGGCTGTTCGAACGTTGCGCTTGAAGCCCTCACGGTTTAGCCGAAGGTCATCAGCGACTTCTTGGATCAAGGGATCTTCGTATGTAGTGTGCATGAAGATATGCTGTTTGTTTGCGTGCTGGTGTTAGTCTGGGAACGCATAGTTTATTTCACTTTCTTCATTGTGGTTCTACATTTCTCCTTGGCTAAAAGGAGGGGAACGCACCAGTAGGCCAAATGCAACCGCTTGGACATCCAGCGCGGCTGTCCACCCTTCTCGCAGTATATTCAGACACACATTCCCTTGCGGATCGATATTCGGGTGGTATATCTTCTGAGTGCACTTTACTCGAGGAGGTGCATACGGGTACTCGTGTTCGGGAATCTCAAAGTCGAACTTAAACGAACCACCCTTGTACACACCCTCGTCAGGCTCGATCAATACGCTAAAATGAAACGGGTCATCACCATCCTTCCACAGAAATTTAATCGGACGTGCAGTCCCTCTGCTGTCTTCCTCCTGTTCTCCGACCCGGATTAGATCTGTGAGCGTGCATCGACGAAGTTCATAGTTAATTTACGCCAGTCGGAAAAGATTTTCGCCTATCACAAAATATTGATGTTGGCAAAACATACCATGTTGAATTCGGGTTTTAGCACCTCCGACTTTATTCTTGACCTGCCCAGCAGCAGCAGCCTCCTCTTGCTGCTTCTTTTTCTGTAGCACAGGGACAGTTAGTTTCTATGTATTCTGTCTCTAAAAAAAATAAAAGCAGAAGCCAGGGAGTATAAGCAGTGAATGATAACGAAGTGCTGGAGGTCCAGGGATATTTGAAAATGGAGTGCCAAAAGGGGAAGGGAGAAGATGATGTCAATAACAACAACGCACAGCCAATTTAACTTACCAAAGACAATATCTTCAACATCTTGCAAAAAGAAAACCCCTGCGCTCCAGGTACACAATCACCAAAACAAAAGCGTTATATGTGCAAAGTATATGCAAAGGATACCACACAACAAGCCTCGCCTGTTGTCTGCCTGATACCCCGTCCTTCTCGTCTCGTATTTTTCCCGTTTCCTACCCTTGCATCCCGTACACACACACACAAAAACAGCGTCCCGTGTGTTTTTCCCCCTGATACTTTTCTGTTACGTTTGCGCCGTAGACCCTTAACAACAAAATGAGAAAAAAAGAGCAGAATCAAAAAAGTCAAGAACTTTTGCTGGATTCCAACCACCGATTCTTCCTCCCGTTAACAAAAGAAACAAGAGACTTTCGTATTCTCCCTCCTAAAGCCGTGTAGCCAGCCGGTTCAGCCGTTTCTGAAAACCACTCAAAAAGAGACGAGACGAAAAAGAGAGAGAACCCGAGATGAGAAAACGGTGTAACCGTCCCCAGACGTGAAAGATTTTTTTCCAGCCCAATTCAGTTGTGTATATCGAATTTTGCCTTGGGCTTGGGTTGGTTATCAGACGAAAGCACGTCGAGTTCGTAAGGTAGGAGGAGGGTAGGAAGAGGGCAGGGAGGTTCGTAATAGGTAGAGCGCTGGGCGGAAGGGGGCGGGTTTCGATCGATTGATATCAGCGGGGAGAGGCTGGTTTATGGTCCAAAAAGAAAAGGGAAAATGAGAGGTCGGAAGCAAATGAAGCGTTTGTGAAGTCAAGGTAACCTAAGCCGGGATCTTCTATGTTATATTATCTTACCTGATCCCGCTGAAATAGGAGGTAGAACAGAGAGAGGGAGGGGGGGGAAGGGGGCAAGGGGAAGTGGCGTGTGATTTCAGGGTATGTACACGGGCCAAGTGCTATGGTGGATTATTTTTGTACTATGCTGTGTCAGAGAAATGAGGGGGGAGAGGGGGCAATGAAAATACTAGACTGTGAGGTTGTTGACGGTTTGAAGATGAGAGAGATTTCAAAGCCAACGAGGACAACAGCACAGGATGGGACATGACGATAGTTTGGTTTGGTTTGGGGCAAGACACGTGATGTTGCCTGCCAAAAATTGGTTAAGGCTAAGTTTAGCGGCGGCGCCTGGAAGTGGGCTGGTTATAGGGTTGCTTGGGGTGCTTGGGGTGCTTGGGGTGCTTGGGGTGCTTGGGGTGCTTGGAGGGGTGGAAATCATAGGCTGTCGTGGTGGATAGAACAGCGGCGGCTGTGCAGATTGGTTTTTGATATAGGCAGCAGAAATTGACAGTTTCTTAACCGTTGCAAAAGTGGTTTGTCTCTTTCTTGAAATAAAGGGCTGTAATGCAGGCTCCCGAGCACTTCAATGTGGGTATACATATTCTTTGCTGCAGACATATCAAGCACCATGGCGGGGAACAGAAAGTGAAAATTAAAACATCATAAGGCAGCATTGAAATGAACCTTTTCTTTGTAAAAGCTAAGGGGTCTAAGACCAAGGATTAAATCGGGGCAGGTAAGATGGAAAAGAAGAGGAGAGCAACAGACATAAAAAGTTACGACAAATAACGAAGACACGGGGCTTGCATGAAGTAGGAAAACTATTATTGTTTAGCTTGCAACAGTACCTATATCCTGTACGCAGCGTTGTGTCCTTATTATTCAATCAGATCATCATGAACGCGTTAAAAAGAGCCACAGTAACAACAGAAAGCAAGCGAGCCAACCAATCACGCATTTGCAAATAAGGAAAAGGAAAGAGAAGTAGGGGAGACCAAGGGACAAGAAAAAGAATGATAGAAAAAAATCAGCCGTCATCTAGGATTTAATACATTTACAACAAAAGTTAGGACGGAGCTAGACGTTAAGATCGACGACGAAAACAACAACGGCAGCAGCAGCAGCAGAGTTGGGGGGAATAGAGAGGGACAACAGACATCACATTCCAGAGACTCTCACGCAAATCGGTCAGCACGCAACAAAAAGGGGAAAGAAAGGGAAAATACATCTTGCCATCAACGAAACATGAGGAAAACGACACAGGGAAAGTAATATGGGAAAATCGAAGGAGAAAATAAAACCAAAAGGGCATGTTCGTAAAAAATCAGGGGGGATGTGGCCAGCTGCCAGATGCCAGCTACCAGTTTCTTTCTTCGCTTTTCATTTTGTCGTTTCCCCTTTCTCTCTCCTTGGCTCTCTCTAGGTTTCGTGCCGCCGAAAAGATAAGCAAAGAAAAAAACAATCCATGATACCACGACAAAAAAAAAAAAAAAAAGTAAGACAAATAAAACTACCGTCTCGCAAAGCAGCACATAATACCCGTCCGGCCAAGGAACCAACAAGCGCCGATGAAGCGGACTAGAGACAGCGCTGCGGTTGCCCACAGGAGAGCCTGGAAGAAATGTGTGGTTCGGTTGGTTGCTCGGGACTAGATTATTGGATGTTATGTTAGCAATGGGCATTCACAGGGGCGAAGGGAATCCGACTGGAGTGGGGTGGATGGGTCAAGCAAGCAAAAAGACAGGAAAGAATATACCGTAAATCCAAACTTATTAACATCCTCACTCGTGATAGCGACTGCAAGAATCCCATTCGAGAACAGCCACGAGGTTACCAACCGTGTCCGGAAACTCTTATACGAATCATCTAGAGACTTGCCCTCCTTCACCTTCGGCTCCACATAGGGCGTCAGCGCGCGCTTCACAGTGCTCTCAAACTGGCTATCAATATCTGCCTGCGGCTTGTCAATCTCCTCAATCACAGCGGCTTTGCCGTCATCTTCCTTTTGCGTCTGTGCAGAAGGGAGTGCGTCGGCTTTGTCGGCGCCTTTTGTTCCCCAGGAAACGTCGTGCCAGTTGCTGAAGGCGTAGACCATCAAGATGTTGATGTAGGAAGACATAATTAGGAGGTAGGCGGGGAAGGACGTGAACATGTGCCAGGGATCGAGGTACATGAAGGAGGCGACAAAGTAGAGACCGAAGGTTGCGGCGAGTGCAATGATGATGATTCCTGGTCCTTCGGAATTGAAGAAGGATTTGAAGAATTCACCAATGCCTTGGTCTGTTGTGAAAGCCAGTGTGCCACCGCTGAAAGCACGGATGACGAGATACATGGATAGGATGATGATGTACACTTGGATGAGGCCGAATAAGACGAAGGAGGTGATGTACGAGTGTTTGGATCTGAAGAAGTAATGGTTAATATATCGTCCGCTGTAATGATAAAGTAGGGAAGTCCACACTCCGAATCTGGGGACTGCAGAATATGCCGGCGAGGCGTGTAACTCATCACAATACAACCACCACAGAAATTACCACCGTACATCAACGGTGGGCATGTTCAGTGCGATTATATTGTCATGAATTGGATGTTTCTGAGCTCCCCTGGTTCCTTTGTTGGGGATCATGGAATTATACGGTTAAAAACTCACCCTTTAGGCCGGTTACCCAACGACAAAATAAACTGTAAGAGTAGGAAGGCCAGATACAAGTATTTCAGAATCGTGTTTACAATTGGAGTAGCCGTGTTGCCGAATGGGAATGCTCTCTGCTGGTTCCCAGATTCTGGAGCGGGAGGACTGCCAACGAGGTCCATGATAACGGAAGTTGTGAGCCAGTAGGAAGCTAGAACATAGCATTAGCGATAATAGTCCAAAAACGAAAAAAAAAGAGCGTGAAAGGGATGAGTTTGTCTCGCGAAATAAGGACAGTAAATAAGACATACCAAGCGCAAACCAAGACATGAAAACCGTACACGTATTATAAATCATCTGAATATGGAAGAAGAACATGCGCAGGAGATTGTGGCCGCTCTTATACATTCTGCCAAAGTGCATGAGCGAGTAGATACTCGCCGCGAACGAGCCGTTGAGCCACCGACGACGCTGACCGATGAATTCCGCAGCTCCCTCAGGCACGTCAGTCTCCCCCTTGGACGATTTGACGTAGGACAAATGCCATTTAGACCCGGCTTTGGCTACAAGTTCGAAACACAGAATCCGATCCTCGGCCAAGAACATGTTCTTCTTGAAAATATTCATGCCCTCGATACCTTTGGGGCCAAGTTGTTTGGAAAGAGTATGGTCACCGTGGAAGTACTGTTCGAGCGGTCTACCCATGATTGCACGGAAGCGGTAAGCGGAGAAGGCACCGGGCAACACGCTGACGTATCCGAAAGAGGATTCCAGCGGTTTATCCAGGATGTTACTGATTTTGTATTCGAAGTTCTGCGCTGCGACGAGGGGGTTGATGAGGTTCTTCCAGCCCTTACCCAACATAGCGTGGATCTCACCGCAGGACCCACCAAGATCTTTGTCGTTGTAAAAAGCTTCCCAAAGTGCAAGTAAGGATTTAGGGCCGGGTTTGGTACCTGCGTCGAGCAGGATACAGATTTCCGGGTTGAGGATTCGGCCAAAAGCATTGAACAGCCATCTGTGAGAGTTGATTTTCTTGCTGTTTTTCTGCTTTAGACAGAACATCATCTGCACGGGGGGAAGCGTCGATGGGCCGTCATCGTGTGGTCGAATCAGTTGTTGGTTTGCGGTGACGGATAGTTGGGTAGTATATTCGAACTGGACTGGTAGTTAGTAAAGTGGCGAGGGCAAAAATTAGACATGGTGCATATGTACTCACAATATGAGCGATGGTTTCCTTTCCATCAACATCTTTCTTCATCACGCCGTCCTGGTAGACTCCAATGGTGGCGAGCACATCGAGGGTATCTTTGTCGCATGGGTCAATTCCGTCGAAGACCAGACAAACAACGATTTTTTGCCAAGCAGGTCCTCCCTTGTTCCAGAATTCAGACTTCTTAAGATTGACGATGTCGCGGATATTTTGCATCACACCGTGCAGGGTGCGCGAAGTAAGCATCTTATCTTCGTTGTAGTAGGTAATAGCGATCAGCAGCTCGGTATGGCGGTTATACATTGCCGGGCGCAGATTGTAGCCATTGTGTAGGGTGAACTCATTGGGATCACACGTAGCAGCGGTGTCTAAGATACCAAATTAGCAAGGCGGCAGCTGTCTAGGGAAGTGGGAAAAAAAAAAAAAAAAAAAGTGGGAGAAACAAAACTCACATCGCATATGGGTAAATTCCTCGCTACCACCCTCAAGGTCATTTCGGTATTTAGCCTGCACAGCATTCTGAATAGCACTGGGGACGGGATAATCGACACTGAGCACGGAGCCTTGAACCAGCTTAACTTTCCTGGTGGCATAACGGCGCAGGTTACCAGGAGCCTGTCGTTGACGCCAGGCCTCGGTGGAGGAAGTTTCGCTCCGAGTATAGGGGGATGGAACGCGGCCAGGGACACCGAAGCCCGCAGCTGGGTTTTCCATGTGGCCGCCGTATTGATCTTGGGACTGGGGATGGTCGGTTACGTAAGATTCTGTGAGGCTATATCTCGAGGGAGGTCGGACAGGAGAGCCACCGTGCTGATGATGGGGGTCGTCAAAGGGACCGCTGAATGGGCCTTGGTTTTGGTGGAGAAGCGATTGTGAGGCATCGTGTTCAGCGGGGAGATTATATTGCTGGAGGAGCGAGAAAGGGGTTAGTTAGCAAGGTTGTTGTTGTTCCTGCGTTGTATATACAAGTCTGAAACGAGAAGTAAATAGCAGCAGAAGTGACAAGGACAAGGGGGGGTTGATCTCAATGCCGCGAGCACTCCACCACCAAAGTAGCAATACGAATAAGGTGCTTGCTTACATTGCCAGACGGGGGGAGGTCATGTAGCCGATGGCCTTCGCCATAACCCCCTGGGGAGTTCGAGCCTGGATAGGCCATGATGAGGCAGCTGCGGTCACACAGTCAAAACGAGAGGCTGGTGGGCGATGCAGACAGGCAAGGGGGTTATGAGTGTTTGGCTGGGTGGAGAGAACAAGAATGAGAAGAGGAGAAGAGGAGAAGAGTTAAGACGACGAAGATGTCTTTCTTTCTTTTTTTTTTTTTTTTTTTTAGGGGGGACGAACGAAGCCAGGCAGGCAAGCTAGCTGGCGGTGGAAGAGGTTAACTAGTTAAGCCAGGGAGATAGACGACGAGTCGGGCGATGATCGAGCCCAGGAACAACCACCACCAACGATGGAGAAGCAGGAAACGAGAGACGAGGGAAAGCGAGCGCTTCTTCTTATTATTATTATTTCCTGAATGAACCAACAGCAGCAACATCAACGAACGATGACAACAGCAGCAGCAGCAGCAGCAACAACAACAACAACAACAGCTGAAGGACGAAAGGAACAAGAAAATGAAGAGAAAGGAAAAAAGAAGATAATAAAGCCAAAAAAGCAAAGGCCTTTGAAACGGAACTTGGAGACGATTTATTTCGAGGCGGGTGTGTACGGTACGGTATGTGTATGTGTATCTGTATCTGTATCTGTCACTGTGTCTATAGTTACCTGTATGATACCGCGGTACTTCGGGTTGCCTCCGCGCTGTTTTGTCATTCGAAGGCCTGTGGTTTGATAGGTTAGGTACAGTGTCTGCTAAAAAGTTTGAAACCCTCCGCCCTTTACATAGGCTTAATATAGTTTAGCGTAGTCACTATTTAGTATTGAGCAGCCCTAATTGATCCGCCTTGGCATGATTCTTCCTCAAATTCTCATTAATATTTTGTATACTAACTATCGAACCCTAAACTATATTAAGCCTAGCGTAGAAGGGGAGGGTCTCAAACTTTTTAGCGGACACTGTATGTACAGGTAACATACGTACCTGGCCAGAGGAAGATTCCCCGAAAGTTACCGTTTTTGACCCCCCCAATCATATTACGCGCGGCTGGGCAGGCTGATTCGCGCGGTTTAATACCATATTGTTACCGTACAACGCCAAATACAGCCCAACATCCATCCATCCATAACATACATCCGTACATCTAATATTATTAATATTACTAATAATGGATGTTGACCGCACCTTGTGGTGATTAAAAGTCCGTCCCGTCATGTTTAAGATACGCTCAGTTACGGTTCCAGAAGGTTTGAAGGTACACATGTGTTTTGTGTGCTTGCTCCTTGCTCTACAGCATTCCAACAAGTTCTACTCCGTATAGAAATATATATCTATTACCTCGATATATATATATTTTCGCACTTCCCAGCGCGTTACCCTCTACGCAGTCGTAGTAGTCGACTTCATGATGCCAACTTGCGGGCCTAAACATATATTTACAGGTCGTCTATATGATCCGCTCATGCCCCACCCTCCCGACGTTGTCCCGGCTGGTTGAACTACATCAGTGGCTCGCTCGCTCATGGAGGATCGCACGACATCACCACCTGCATATCCTCAGTTCCTCAGTTCCTCAGTTCTTCAGTTCTTCAGTTCACAACCCTCCGCCTCCGGCCCGCTCAGCTCAGCGCTGAGTGAGTGTGGATTTTCCTAGAGTTGTCTATCTATTATTATTATTATTATCGTCCCCTGCTGGTGCACCGCCTCAATAATAATAGTTTGATTATAACGGGGATAAAGTTTCAAGACCCACGGAGAGAGAATCAAAAATAACTTTTCAAGCCACCCTCTCGATCCCACATTCGAAACCTGTCTCAGTCGAGCCCTGGGCAAATCTCAGGGACTCAGGGACGCCAGCTCTCTAATTCGAGAGGTGTTGGCAGGTTGAGAGGGACAAAATCACCACAACACATACATGTAGCGGAGCGCTGCCAAACCAATTTCTAATAAAGCTCTTTTTCTTTGAGTGTTTCAACTTGATTTCGACTGATAGCCCTTTTTACCCACGGCATACGTTTTGCCAGTTAAGCATCCAATTAGCAGGCGAGACGGATTATCGATGCATGGATGGAAAAAGGGTAGCAATGTGATCAGAAGGCGTGCTCATGCGCAGATAAGATAAACCTCCCATGCATTGCATATGTTGCCTGTGCCGCATTTTCGAGAGATCACCCCAATTGCCCCTAAAATTCCCGGCGGTTGAAATCTAGCTAGTTCTCTTGAGTATGAGAGAGGTGCGTATACATACACGGATAGTTATAGAGACATGAGGTCGTTTATTATTATTAAATCGACAGTTATTAGCGATTGAGCGTTTATCTTTCCAAGCGCGGTACACCGTATAAGCACGTTATTGAACTGAAAAATACCCACTAAACCACAACAGAACAGGTAGCATTGTGCCCTGTGCATTCCATCTGAAACCCGCCAACGGATTACGCTGCGTAGTACGGAGTACAGTACAAGTAGTTTATAGTTCCACCCACCCATCCCGCACAAACCCCCCGAGGGCTCTTGGAGTCTTGGACCAAGGCGGGAAATGAGCTGCAGATCTTGATCCATAGTTACTGTCTTTCTGATCGAAACAGACGCAGAGAGAGCCCAGAGAGGGCATTATATAACCGAGTACATGAGACGCGGGTGGGGTTGCTGTTACAGACCAACTAACGTTGTCCCTCTTCCCTTTATATTAAGGAGCCAAAGGGGGGTCAACACGAGGTTTGATTTTTCTCCTTATTTTTTTATTGTGTATGGAATGGTTATTAGGGGGCATCTTTTATATCCGCCTGGTTTCCATGTCCAGACTTCATTTCAGTGCCCGTGAGCCCGTGAGCTGTCAGGAATGTCTGGGATAATTAATACTGGTAAATTCCTCGTCCCTTGAACTGTCAATTATATTATCGCTCTAGGGGGTTTGGACAGCGAGTATGCAAGGATGCATGTGCTGTAAGTTCCATGTGAACATGCGTGTGAGGGACAATAATGACATGAGGGCAATTTTAGACTGATCTCATCCCCGCAAAACCAGATCCATCGCGGTGTGTTGAAGAAGAAGATGAAGAAGAAGAAAAGAGATTTAAAGAATCCTCAGGACAAGATGCCATCGCATCCAACCCAAGCGACAAAGAGATCATTATTGCACGCCGACTTGCTCCCTTTAGCCACCATTGCATTGCCCACCAACCAACACCAACCAACACCGCCCAGCTGCAGTCTGCCGTCCGTCTGCTCGGTGTCTAAATATAGCACTCATCTGGCCAGCCACGATCCACCGGCTGATTGGACTGGACTGGGTTGGTTAGTTACTTCCTTACAGCGTACTAGTGGGCAGCGGTGTATGCCGTAGTTGTCGACTAATAATAATAATAATAATAATAATAAGCAGCGGACGAAGCAATATACTTGTAAATACCGTATAATACCATATTGCCTGATACAGGTATCTTATTATATATAATACAGCCATGGAATATATAGTATTAGCTCCTCGACACTCGACACAGCATTCAATAATAATAATGACTTCCTAGGCAAACTAACCAACAAATCCTTGAGTAGAACTCTCAAAAACTACTACTTAGCGCCGCCTCAGCTGGCTCGTGGGTTCGTGGGTTCGGTGGAGGCGCATGCTAGTATATGGATTTCTGAAAGGAGAGAAGGGGGGGGTTGCAACTTTTTGCTGATGCTGTGTTGATTGGCATTGGGTTCCTTTGATGGGAGGTGAGATGCTGGTCTAACTATAATACTCCATAATAATAAATACTTGTCTGAATGGTGACTAGCTACACATCTTTACTCAAGTATACGGCGCAGCCTTTTTGTATGTGGTTTACACTCGGGAAGAGCGGTGACTATCTCAGAGAATACTTGATCAACGATGCTCAGAACCCCTCGTCTATGGAGTAACAAGATTGGACAGAATAATAAGAGGCTCCGTCCCAGAAATTTTATCACTTGTTTCCGCCATTCAGCTGTGGAGAGGCAATAATAATAAATGGCCTGATCTGATCACGGTTGGTTCAAGAGCTGTGGCTGCGCGGGCTGGTAGGGCTGAAGTACGGAGTAGTTAAAATGAGAAGGGGAATGATCCATCCCTCCCGGTGTGAGTGTGGCTGTGCAAGACGATGGTTGTGTCAGGGGAAGCTTGGGAGCTTCTGCAGAGTGAGGCTAAGTATGCAGGCGATGGAGATGAAATGAACAAAGGATGTAGCGTACTATTCTAGTCGATTATCCCTATTCTATCCGATTGTCATATTCTTTTCTTCTAAGTCATTCTTATCATTGTATTGTTAAATGCTGGCTTGGTATACGCGTGGGTATCATGGACATCCAACATGCATTCTCTCTCCGCTATCCCTGTCATTCGTGATGGGGAGAGGGGGCCTTGCCCCTCCTCCATCCTCGGGCCATACCTGCAGAATGGTCGAGCTTGCATTCCTCAAAAGCCCTATATGCGGCCTAGAGGCAATGCAACTCTCCGCCCTCGTGCGTGTGGCAATTCTGATAAACAGATAACGTGTTAGCAAGATACAACAGCACCACAGCCATACTGGAAGCTAAAAGGGTTAAATGGGCAACTAAGGCGTAAGGGAAAATCAACCCACCGGTGGTACATGAACGGTTGGCGCTGGGGGCTGCGGAACCGTGGGTGTGGGTGTGTCCTGTGTCGGTTGAGTAGTGGGTGGCATCGTCGTAGTCGTCGATTTTTCCTCTTCCCACTTACCCGGACACCCAAAATGCGGCACGGCGACTTCATGCCCATACACGTCTGCCGCAAAGTACTGCAGCGTATTGCTATCTCGCGTGGCGTAGGTGGAATTATACTTCGCTAGGTGCATCACGTCCTCGTAGGAGCTGGCAAAGTGGTCAACGTAGGACTCGCCGATGGCAGGCATGTGGAACAGCCGATGCAGCATGTCGGTGCCCCAGTAGGTGTTGCGCGGTGAACCGGAGACGGTATACCCGCGCGTGCAGAAGTAATCGAGATATAGCCGTGTGTGGTAGGATAACGCACAGATTACGGTTTCGTCGGTGGCGTTTTCGCCGCGCCAGTGGCCGCCGTATTCTAGATGGGATTAACTGGCCATTTCTCTTGGAAAAATTTTGGGAAGAAGGGGGGTGGGGACAAACTGGGGAAATGCTTGCAATTCCCATCCGGGTCATCGCAGCGGAACAACGTCTTCCACTTTTTCCCACTGACGACCCGCTCTAGGTTCCCGATTACCTCGCTAGTCGGGCCATCGCCGAAGTACTTGCGGTACAGAGCGGAATCTTTGCCATACCAGAGCACATGGTCTCTGGCCCGGGCAGCTAGAGTCATGGCATCCTGTAAACCGCGACGGATCATCCTCCGCTCGGTGGCATTGCAAGAGTTGTGGATGGGATAGTCGTTTCTCGGGCTGTGGTCGCATTGCAGCCAACCTGCGCAAGCATGGCATGGCGGTGCTGGGTTCCAATCTGCATGGGGAACTGCGAGGACAGCTCCCGCATAAACGGACGCAAACACAACAGGTATGGGGAGCCTCATGGTGATGGTCAAGAAGGCCGGGGGGGAATAATAGAATTGTCTTTCGAGGCCCTGAGAATTTTGATACTTGAACTCCGTGGTGAGATGTCGGTTTCCCGGCGGGTATCTCGATGGCTTATATAGCCAGAATTACCAGTCAACAGACCGCCCTGTATGCCCTGTTCATTGCCGTAATTATCCATTGTTTCTTGAATTCTACCTTGAAGAGCTGTTTCTCACAAGGTTCCCTTTCGATATCGCGCTATTGTCTAGTGCTGCACAAAAGCGATAGATATGTTTTGCGATAGCGCTGCTAGGGTGAAGGAGGACCTTGTGGATTCGACGTGGAACAGGTGGAACAGGTGGAACAGGTGGAACAAGTGGAAATCCTGGATGGGCCCTTCAAGGAAGATGTGATTCGCTCAGTAATCAGTCGAAGCGAGTAAAATCGAATTGCAGTGTTAGTTGTCCGAGCGAGATGCCATCCATGCGAACTGAAATGCTGGGCCGGAGCTATAGAGCTCTCATAACATGTCTGCTGTGAGTTACATCGCTAGTTCTGGAACGCAGGGGTTACAATTCGAATTGATAAGATTTCTCCAGCCGATTGTACGCATGGTTGGTAGGGCGCAATCCACGCTGCTCTCTTCTCGAAACGAGGTAGTGAACGTTGTTGATGTCTGTAGCTGATATCGTCTATTGTTGTTTCTCGTCTCTGGATGAAGTCAAAGCATTTAACTAGTTAAGTTATTTGAGTCGCTGAGTCAGCAATGACGTCTGACCACCGCAAGTCATCTTTGTTTATTTAACAATTATTCGCACCAATTTACTTAACTATCAACTGCGCAAATTACTCAATTGGCCTTTATCAGATGCTGAGAACTAGATTGGCTTTCGCTTGGAACTAATACCCCAAAAGAAAGGAAAAAGGAATAGCATTGCCCCCTCAGCAGCACATCCCGCTGTCTTTCCCATCCCCCCTCATCTTCCCCGCCACATCTTGCAATGCAGCCGTCCCAACCAGCCCCCAACTTCCAAATCATCTCGACTCTCCGCTACGATCCAGATCTCCCCAGAACCCCGGATATATCAAACTCCTACCCCTCCCCCAGAACGTCCCCGTACTACCTCCTCAGCTACCACTACGACCGCCTCCTCGCCGCCTCCCTCGACTTTCAATGGCCCGCCGCAATCGCCCTCCTCCAACAACAACCCCGAGAAACAGTCCTTTCCCAGCTTACCCAAAAGTTTAATGAGCATATCAAATCCGACCCAACCCATCCCTGGCGCCTGCGTGTCCTCCTCGATGCCGCCGGCGCCCTCACGGTCGAAGCTGTCCCGATCACCAGCAACGCTCCCCCACCACCGCTCTCAACGCCCAGTAATATATTATTAGTCTTACCAAGCGCAACGGCAGATCTCTCGCGCCTCCTATCCTGCAATGTCATTCATGCGGAAGCAACCCCCGCGGCAAGGGTAGCAATCGAACCGTGGACGGTACGACTTGACACCCAACCAACCCACCCGTCACTCTTCACCCGCCACAAAACCACCGCGCGAGATCACTACACGGCATCTCGCGCGCGCGCGGGAATTACTGCATCGCCGCTTGATAGGACGGAGGTGCTGATATATAACCCTGCCGGTGAGGTGATGGAGGGCAGCATAACAACTGTGTATTTCCGTCGACGGCGAAAACAGGGTCTTGGTCCGGCGGCATCGATCCCTGTGCCTGGGGAGGCGCGTGATATTGGTGACGGTGATAGTAGAGGACCAGCAGACGATTCCTCTTATTACTGGGTCACGCCGCCGCTATCCAGTGGTGGGAATGCGGGGACGTCGAGACGATATGCGCTTGCGGCGGGGATGTGTGTGGAGGAGGTTGTGAGGGTTGAGGAACTGCGGGAGTTGGAGGGCCAGCTGGGGAGGGTGTGGTTGAGTAATGGGGTTAGAGGGTTTATGCCGGCGGTTTTGAGGCTTAACAACAGTTAGTTACGGGTTGTGTGAGTGCTGGTAGGGATAGGTAAGGTAACGCTCCTCTATATCCATTGGAATTGAAGTGGAGAAGACCGAATATTTCCATGGGGGATGCAGCAGCAGCAGCAGTGCCAGCAACAACAAGAAAGAAAATCATCAAGAAACACAGGACAGGGCTCATAGAGTCCATTGACTTGTCGACCCATGTGCGTAGTGCGTACTGGGCAACGAAACATCGACGGATCTGGTGAAATGCGAGGAGATTATGGGCCGGAGACTGAAATACCAGCGGTTATTTGACAGGACGTCGACCAGGTGTGCAATACCATGCATGTATTCGCAGCTATAGCCATCATCTGCTATCTATCTTCACCTGTACTGGATTGGATTGAATTGAATTGAATTGAATTGAACGAGGGGACCAAGTGAACAAATGGGAATCTCCGGATACCGAAGATTACCTCCTTACAACCAGAGTGAGGTGTTTATTTGGTTGAAGGGAAGGAGAGAAAGGTGGATAATATGGAAAATCCTATATCTATCAATTACATGGACTTTCTTCACTCACATATCTTTGTGGTGCACTGAAAGAATTATGCATACTAAATATCCCTCCCCGCATATTTAAGATAGACTGGGCTGCACGGAGTAGGATGTAAAAGCCGAGAATACCTAATTCCCTCGTAAAATAGATAGAGCTTCCCTTGAACAAAAGCCAACCAGGCCAACAAACAGAAATCTCTTTTTTTTTTTCGTTATATGTACATAATGCAACACGTAACACAAAGACATACAAAACCCAACAAATAAAAGAGGATAAAAAAGAAAAGGAATAACCACCCGCATCCAATCTCGTTTGCGAATCAAACCGAGCTCCGTATACCGGTTCGCTTTTAGTTTTGTTTTGTTTTTTGGGGTCTGGATAGCTGGGCGAGAAATAGGCGGAGTGGGTAGAGCAAAACTTTTTCAATTCGGAATTCATAGTTATATATACAATGGACAATGTACATGCAAAATGCGGTTGTACCCCGGTTCATCCGGCCCTTTCGCTTCGATTTGATTCGTTCCGAGTGGAATTGGAAAGTGAAATTGGAATTGGGATGTGGAATTTTATTGAGCGGAGATTCATTCATATTATATCCTCATCCTATCTTGCCTTCCCTTCGTCGTTTTCACTCTTTCATATTTATTGCTTAGTTCAGCAGTCCTTGGGCGCGCTCAGTTTCGAGGCGGGCATAGAGGCGGTCACGGGCCCGGACGCGGGGGAGGGTGGTAGCCTGGTTTTCAATTAGATGATTGTTCATCATACAGCATACAGATAGAA